TGGGGAACTGATCGGTTGTGATGAACAGGTGGCGTAATAGTGTGCCGGGCCTGGCCCTGGCGTCAGATATCAAGTATTTCAATTTAATTCAAGTTAAGTAAGTTGACGGACGAATTTATTTCAAGTAATCAAGTTCGAACCCCGAACTTGACTTACTTGAATTGATGTCAGCGCTGTCTGTCGGTGGCTCGCCGCGCTGGCTCAGCGCGCTGCAAGCGTCGACGCAGTATATTGGCCTCATCAACGCCATGACGTACGGCATGAACGAGCAGATGCGACGAGGCGTGTGGAAGAGGCTAAAGGATCCCAGCGGGCGAGGCAACGCTTGAACGGTTGGGGAGACGAATAACTAACGCGTCCATGGCTAGGTGGATATCCTTCTGGCAGTCTGGGCCATTAAGGCGAGTGAATATCGGTCACAAAAAGGTCTTAGCTATCTACATGGAAGACTGGGTAACAAAGAATGTCTAAATAAGTAGGGCAATTGCTAGGCACGCCGAACCACTTTACTACGGACGCCGCGTTACGGACGCCGTGTGGCTGACCCGCCAAATCGGGCAAGCGCACATCACACTGTGCGCGTCTTGCCTTCCCCGCACGTGGCTGCCTTCCTTCCTAGCCATCTGGACAAATTTGCTAAATGTCGCACAGAGAGCCAGCTCCATGCTGCATATCATCTGTGCTTATTGTTGGCCGCGGAAGCCGATGCTATATTCCGTGTATTAAGGTCGAGCGCCTGCACGCGTTGTGCTTTGACTTCGTCAAAGTCAAAGCTCAAACGCTGGTTGCATAAGCCGGACCAGCAGCCGCGATTACAAGGATTTGGCACGACAAAGCAAGACTTTCCTTTGTGTATAAAGAGCGGCGCACTGTCGTGCACCTACAACTAGCTCTTTAAGATAATTCTCATCAATCAATGCGATGCCAACCGTCATCCTGTGAAACCAATTGTCTGACACAGAAGCAGTCGACAGCTCGGCGCCCGCATGGCATCGCCGTCGGCATCTGTACTGCAGCATCTTTCTGTCGCCGACACCAACATATCTACCTTAGTCGGTAAAATACAGAGTCAATTTCCCGGCACAAAGTCAACTTCAGCGGTCCTGGTGGCAACGACATGACCGCTACTGCAGTTCCTCCCCCCGCTACGTTTGATCCCGAGGTTCACTACGGCGATGGAGACGACAACGCCTTGTACAACCTGTTTGCGACATGGCCAGAGAACTATTTCAGCAGCCTTCCTAAACCACATGGTAATCGCGGAATTGATGAGCCCTACTGGGAATTGCGGCAGTCACAAATCTTCCTAGATGACTGGTTCCGCGGCCGTGGCGCACGGCGGTTGTTCACATCTTTCGTTCCCGGTCCCGACAAGCTTGAGAGAGTCCGCAAACGCGAGCAGGTAAATGCGAATAATACCGAGCAGCACGCGACAAGCACGATCCGATTTCGATCCGCCTTGCATTTTGCCCAAGATCAAGCCAAGTTGGACAATGCACTAGCTCTGGAACTGGCTCAACACTGCCTGGCACCTACTACGCAGCGGGTTGTTCGAGGCGCCCGAGACCCACCACCACTGTCGGTCTCACCACCGTCACCGTCGCCAAGCCGGGAGCAAGAGGAATTCGAGGAATGGGCCGGTCTGTCCGGCACAGGGTCCAGCAGTCATGGCGCTTCGATACCCATCCCCAACCCGCCAATCCCTGGCCTTGCCATGGTATCGGTCGATGCCCTTCAATCGTCCGTCAACGATTTCGCGAAAGAAAATGGATTTGGTGTTGTCAGGCACAACGGTTCCGGCAGCAGAGTGCGGAAGACCAGATATGTGTTCCAGTGTGATCGATACGGCGAGCCTCGCACATCAAGAGGCGCAGGTCTCCGCCAAAGGCGCTCGCGCAAGTGCGGTTGTAAGTGGAAGATTATTGCGGAGGCCCTGGAACAGAACGACTACAGGTGGACGCTGCGGGCGTTTGCCGATCCTCAGCACAGCGAACACAACCATGACCGTACTATGAGTCTATCAGCGCATCCAGTCCATCGGAGACTTACTGACTCTGTCAAGGCAACCATTGAAGCGACCAGTCGACGGGTGGGAATAAGGGCGCGTGATGTCCGTGGCATCGTTCAAGAAAAGCATCTCGGAACGCACTACACGAGAAAGGACATATACAACGCTAGGACACTCTTGCGACGCGAAAAGCTTGGCGGATTGGTTCCGACAGCGGCCTTGATCAAGCTGTTTGACGAGAGAGGCGTTCCATATATCGTCAAGTGGTCGGAGACAGAGCCTGACCGCCTTGTTGGCCTCCTATTCACCTTTCCGTATTGTCTCCGAATGTGGAAGCGCTTTCCGGAAATAATGAGCTTCGACAACACGTACAATACAAACCGCTTCAAGCTACCGCTCTTCCAGGTAACGGGGCAAACGTGCCTGAAATCTGTCTACAACGCCGCATTCGGTTTGATCGATAACGAGCGTCGTGAGGGGTTCCAATTCCTCACTGAAGCGGTCAGAGAACTGACCGAGAGGCATGGGATTCCGCTACCAGACGTTGTTATCACCGACTACGATAAGGCGATGAAGGAAGCACTAGACAACCAATTTCCCGACAGCCAGCAACAGCTTTGTATCCACCATATCAACGCAAACGTTCTTCTTAATGCGAAACGGAAGTGGAAGAACGCAGGGGAAGGTGGGGAAAGCGATGGAGATGGTAGCTCTTGCAGTGAGCAGACGCACGTGGCATTGACCCCGACGGATGTGGAAGCTGTGCTCGCAGCAGAGAGACAAGACAACCCGCTTCCTCAGGGCAACCTCGCTGCACCTGTGCCGCACAACTACCGTGGCGTCCTCGAACTGTGGAAGTTCGTGGCTTTCGCAGAGACAAGGGAAGAACACGAAAAGGCTTGGGCGGACCTATGTGACGAGTTCGACGATCAGCCGGCCATCCTTATGTACCTGTACAAGACATACCTGCCAATACGAGCACAGTGGGCACAATGCTTCATCAAGAAGCACCGCAACTTTGGAGTTCGGGTGACGTCTGGTACCGAGGCCAGCAACAACAATATCAAGAGCTACCTGCTCAATGGGATGAGCCATTTGTACTCACTTGTGGAGGCTGTTGAGGCTATGTTGAAAGATCAAGAGCGAGACTTCATCGATGCCTGCTCGCAGGATGAGGTACTGACCTCTCGGACATATTCTGGCCCTGGTTCAGAGTATCTGGGAGAGCTTCGCTCGGTGATGTCCGAGCCGGGACTCAAGCTCGTTTCCAAAGAACATCGGCGGGCCTTAAGATCAATACCAAGCAGGACACGTCCTTGGCCGGAGCCGATCGGGGATTGCAACGAGGAATGTTCCGTCTCGTGGCAGCTTGGGATCCCTTGCTGTCATACAATCTACAACAAATTAGAAACGGGCACATGCTTGACGAAATGGGACGTCCACCCTCGGTGGCACCTTCGGGAGCCAACTTCGCACAATCCCTACCGCCGAATTCTCGACCCTAAGATCGCAGCATGTCTCCGAGGCCGACCGAAGAATGCGACACAGCCAGTCCCTGAAAGCATGAAAGTTGAGCCATCACGCTGTAGTCGAGCAGCAGCGGGCAAGACTAGGCCAAGCAGGAAGCCCACGCGCAAGTCAGCCGTCCTTGGGCCGGGAAAGCAGACAGGCGTGCGACAAGCTGGCCGTAGGAGGCAACCTAACTTGCGGCGGCGACGGTCAGAATGGGAGACCATCTATGATGAAGAAAAGCAAGAAGTTCCGCCGAAGCGGAGACGCCAAAGCTCCCGTAAGCAGCCTACCACTTCTACCACCACAGCGGCTTCTGTCCTGTCAAGTTGTGTTAGCGGGGAAAGCGGGAAGGATTGTATCCATGTACGACTGTAATTGGGGCCACGAAAAATACACTGCTCTGGAGAATTTATTAGTATCTCAGTTGCGCGGTCCAATCCAAGTTCAAAATCTCTTACGCAACTGGAGGGCATTTGCTCGATCTAGCTCCGCTGTCCCCGTTCACAAACCACAGTGCCGGAGACTGGCGGACTCGAGAATGGTGTGGCTGAAATCGAACGCTTGCCCGATTTGGCGGGTCAGCCGCACGGCGTCCGTAACGCGGCGTCCGTAGCAAAGTGGTTCGGCGTGCCTAGCAATTGCCATAAGTAGATAGTAGCCCTATTGGCCAGGTTGCCACGAGGCGTTGGTGACTATTATCGGGGACAACAGGCTAGACGGTCAAGGTGCCAAGGACTTGGTTCAGAGAGATTTTAAGAATCTCCTACGCGCGGGCATCCTGGGATCTCAATGCCCGAAAAGGCCTCGCCAAAGCAGGATACCTGCAGCCCGTACCATCAGAAGCTATGCGATCAACGGCACTCATGTGCAAGTACCTGGATCCGCATTGAGCCGAAAACCGTGCCTGCGCTACACATGCGATATCAGAATAATGAAGGTTTGGTGAGGACGCGGTACTCCACATAATCCTCGCCGTCAATATCGATGATGGTGCCCCGTGAGACGAGCTTGCCGATAAAAGGGCCCGTAGACTTGCGCTCGTACTTGACGCCGTCGTAGAACTTGGCATCCCTGGCACCGGCTTTGATGGGCAGCGTCTTCCGGCACGAGCGCCGGTCGCTCATTCGCTGCAAGTCGTCAGATTCATAGAACAGGGCGACAGAGCGTGACGTCGATGCTACTGCTCCCGCAATGGTGGCCACCGCGACCTCCGCGAGTTGCTCTCGGCTGTTCGCATACTTCTCAGCGCGGGTCTGAGCGGCCTCTGCTTTGGCGAGTTCACCGTTCGCCAGTGCTCTCGATAGTGCAACCAGTGCGTGTGGACACCTCAAACTGCTCAAGTAGTGCGTGTGACTGGGCCGCACTAAACCAGCAGTATATTTGAGCAGGCCACACTACACTACCAGTTTGCGGGAGTGCCGACACTGCACTATTGGTCCGTGCAAAATTGCCACACTGCACTGCACTGCAAACTATGGTGTGCACTATTAGTGCAAGCAAATAACAAGTGCCAGATCGTAGCTTTCGCCATGCCTCTCCCTTGCTTTCAGGCCTTTTACCGCCTTGTTTCCCGGATCGGCCCCGGCCATTATGTTTCATGTCCTATATGTCGAGGACGGTATCTGTGGCGGCTGGATCGACGAACGAATTCTACAGGTCACGATTAGACAATGACACACATGACGCAGTAGAAGGCTCACCTCCGATGGGACTATCAGAGCGCTGCCATCCCACGATCGAAGACACTCCAGTAAATTCAGGGTTTCAACGTTCATCGATCCTCGCTGATCGGTTACCGAAAGTTTTGCTTTGGAGAAGAGTCGCTCTGTTTCAGTCGACATGGGCGCAATAGACAGGATATCGATGGCCATTAATGACAAGTTAGGAAATCGTCGGCGCTGCGCTGACTCCAGCCACCATTTCAACGGATCTGATACCATTATCACAGGTTCACGGCAGTATACTTCGTACTCGTCGTCGTCCATGTTGAAGATAGTAGCCTTTTGCTCGCTCATCCACATTTTGTATCCATTGGGTCGTTTCGGGGTTGGCTCTTGTCTCGATTCTGAACGAAGGGCGGGGCAGCACGCGGTGGACTCGGTGGACTTGTATGTCTCCCTCCACAACTGTCCTACACGAGCTTTGGCTCTCTCAACCCATTCGGTTTTGTCTTCCCAAGTCTCTTCCATGTATGCCCACTTGAGGGACGGATTGAGTACTGTCGCTGCTGAGTAGACTGGCGAGTCTTCCGTCAATTCATAATAGTCAGCTAGTTTTGCCCACGCTGTCTCCATCATTGTAGCCAATTGAGGGAGAGAGGTGGCCTTCTTGGCGGCCTCGATGTGGTGCAAGAGATAATCCATGGTGGGTAAAACGTTACATATGGAATCTCGCATGCCTTCGTTGGCTATTGTAGCATCGTGGAATGGCTCCAGAAATCCGTGAATCTCAGCCAAAGTTGCCCAGTCAGATGAAGTCAGGACATCTTCCTGCAGAGCCGGCTCTTGCGCGCAAAAGATGGTAACTGCGTGCCGAATTCTAGGTCTAAGAACCCACTCAACCATTCTGTACCACGAGTTCCAGCGCGTGTCGTTATCGCGCCGTAGTCTCAAGCCGTCGGTAAGAGCAGTAAATGCTTTGAGTCGTTGCGGAGTCCAAGTAATGTAGACTACGATATTGTGCAGCTTGCCTATCGCCCCTCTCCTTCTCCATTGCTCAACTTCCTCGTCAGACGGGCCGTGGTAGGGATCTGTCGTGGGCGGTCGATTTCCGATGAGGAACTCCATTACCGCCAGGTTGATGATGTGACCGAAACAGCGAAGTCGGTGTGGAAGAGGATCGTAGAAGACGTCGAACTCGTGCTCCAACTCGTCAGAAACTTTGTCGATCATGGTATT